TTAACCATCTACAGGATGAATCTGTTCATTCTCTTAGCAAAAAAAGAAGTTTGTTGTTGTTGTTGTTCTGTGCCATCAAGTCACCTGCGACAATAGGTCTGACATCTGCCCTATTCTGAACCAGAATCATTGAATCTGACACACCAACCAGTATTGCCCTAGTTATTGCTCTCATCTGGGGTCTTCCTCTCCTGCACTGTCCCTTCACCCTTCCGAACATGATGTCTGTTTCCAAGAATCAGTCCCTCCTGGCCACATCCCCAAAGTATATGATATTTTAAGGAGAAATTTGGTTTCATCCACTCCAAGATAGACGTATTTGTTTTCTTGGCAGTCCATGGTATATTCAAGACTCTTTTCCAGCACCACAATTCAATGACATCAATTCTTCTTCTGTAATCCTGAGTCATTGTCCATGTATGGCAAGTAATTGCAAAGGCCATGGCCTGAATCAGATGACCTTAGTCTAGACTTAACATTGTTGCTTCTCAGTACTCTAGAGAGATCCCTGGCACCAGATTTTCCCAATGCACTTTGTCTTTAGATTTCCTGACTGCTAGTGCCAAGAGTATTGATGGTGGTGTTGAGCAAGCTGTAATAGTTAACAACCTCAATCTCTTCACTGTCTAACATGGTGCTGCCAATTTGCCCATTTGTGAGAATCTTGGTCTTCTTGATGTTGAGCTTCCATCCCTATTGAAGGCTACAGTCCTTGACCTTATGCAGTAAGCACTCAAGTCCTCCTCAGTTTCAGGAAGCAAAGTTGTGTCATCTGTATAAAGTAGGTTATTAATTAGTCTTCCTCCAATCCTAATGCCACATTCCTCCTCATAAAGCCCTAATTCCCAAATTATTCTGCATATAGATTGAAAAGGTATGGAGACAGGATGCATCCCTGATGCACTCCTTTCCTGATTTTGAAACATGCAGTGTGTCCTTGCTCTCTTCTGAGGACTGCTTCTTGATCTGAGGATAGGTTTCACATGAGCACAATCAATTGTTCTGAGATTCCCATTCTCCTTAAGGTCAGGCACAATTTGTTGTCATCTACACATTTATCCATTGTATAGTCAATGAAACACAGGTCAACATTCCTCTGGTATTCTCTGCTTTCTGCCATGATCCATCTCACATTTGTGATAATATCCTAGTGCTACAACCTCTTCTAACCCAGCTTTAACTTCTGGCAGTTCTCTGTCAATTATTTGTTCTTAAAAAACCATGTGGTTGTTGACTTTGGGGTGGAGGTATTTGTAATGAATAAATCTTCTAAAATACAAAATTTGATCATTCTATTTCCAGCCTCATTTCTATCACCAAGCTCAAATTTTCCAGCTACTATTCCTATTTTATGTGTTCCATTTCTTAGCAATATCTAATTTTCCTACATTCGTGGTTCTCACATTCCATGTTCCAGGCACTAAAGTCTGTTTACACTGTTCCTTCTCCTTTGTGTTTCTGTTGTTGTCTGTTTACCGCCAGCAAGAAACAGCGAGACCCTGATGGGGGTAAGCCTGATGGAGACACACCACTCTGCCACTCTGGGAGAGGATCAGAGAGTCAATTCAGCTCACTTTTACTGGGAACTTAAGCACACTTATATACAAGCAAGTGAACAGGAAGACTGGATAGGGTAGGCTTACAGACGTGGTACATGTGGATTGGCTAGGAGAACCTCAGCCTCGTGCAGACCACTCCCAGCCATCTTCCCAGATGATGATCTTTCTTAAGCCTGTACAGCCAAACACAGGGGAGCTTTCTCTATCCGGCATTAAAGGCCGTTGGGAGGCTTGCACTTATCCGGAGCTTAGGCGACCTGTCCTAGCCAGAGACCCTCTCTTCCTCCCCAACATTCCCCAACAGTTTCCATACTCGAGGGCTCAGCCTCAATTGCCATATCTGCTAGTAAGTTTGCTCTATTGTACACAGAGTTTTCAAAGGCCTGCTATTTTGGAAATGGATCGACAATCCTTCTTCCTATTCTGTCTTAATTTGAATGTTCAGATTTAGAACAGTATTTGACAGACAAGCATTTTACAGAAAAGAGCAGATGAAAGCTATTTCCCCAATTGTAGAAATGACCAATAGATTTAGTGTTTTCCCCGCCCTTGTCACCTGTGTCTTGATCCAACCTTTTCCCTACTCCACCAGCATTCCCTTCTACTCCCACCTACTCCATTCAACACCTATCTCCTGCCATCCAGCCCTTAATATGATAGTTTATATCTCAAGCTTTTTTGGCTTCTATGATTCCAAACGCCTCGAGCTGCTGCCAGTTTTTTATGTTGTGGCCAGTATCTCTTGAGTTTTTATAAGTCCAAACACCAGGACGAATTATTAGGGAAGACTTCCAATTTCAGACAATTGTGAGGAAAAATCTTTTCCCCTGAACTTCTGCTCCAGGATTAACATCTTTTGGCTTAGGGCCTCTTCTCTTCAATTTGCAGCACACTGTAGTCACAAAGGAATAGTTTCCGAGGGGAGGGTGATGTGTCCAGTAGATCTGGCATATAGTGTTGTTTTCTTGGCCCAAGGCCACAGTCTGGAAACTAAGGTGCACCTGATCCAGGCTACGTTGTTGTTTGTTGTTGTTGTTGTTGTTGTTGTTGTTGTTAAGTGCCGTCGAGTCGCAGGCCACTCATAGCGACCCTATGAAGGAGAATCCTCAACACCGGTGTGTCTCTCATCCTCTTCAGGTTCATAGGGTTTCCAGAGGCCAGCTATTATGGAAGTGGATGCCGCTCCTGCTTCCAAGCTTGTTTTAATTGGGGAGTTTCACCCAACCCTGTCCGCCATGTGTAACCAACCATTAATGCATTTGACACATCGGCGTCAGTGTTCAGATCCAGGCTATAGTCTTTACAATTACTTGCTATGCATCAGAGAGCTGGACAGTGACTAGGGATGGTAGAAGGAGAATCAATCCCTTTGAGCTGTGGTGCTGGAGAAGAGTATTGAATATAACATGAACTACTAAGAGAACAAACAGGTTTGTCCTTCTGAAGACTACTCCTTGGAGGCAAGGATTCTGAAGCTTCATCTGACCTCTCTGGACACGTTGCAGGGAGGGACTAGTCTTGGAGAGGGATGTCATTCTTGGGACGGTGGAGGGACAATGCAAGAGAGGAAGACTCTCTATGAAGTGACTGATTCAGTGACTGGGGTAATGAGGGTGGGTGTGTCAGAGACAATAAGATTGGCACAGGTTAGAGGAGGGTTTAGGGCTGTTGTGCATAGGGTTGCTATGAGTTGCAGGTGACTCGATGGCACATAACAACAACAAACATTTTTGTTTTACTGTTTTCAACTCTTGCATCCCCGTCACCAATTATGATTAATACATGTAGAGTGCATGTTTGGTCAGCAAGATTTGGTAAAAATTCTCAATTTCTTCCTCTTTGGCTTTAGATATGGGAACACATATTTGAATAATGGTCATGTCAATAGGTCTTCGTTGTATGCTTATGGATAATACCTATCACTTACAACACCGTATTTCAGAATAGAACTTGAAATTGACTTTTTGACTAAGAATACAGCACCATTCTTCTTCTGTTTTTTATTCCCAGAAAAGTATATCATATGATACATACTATTCAGATGATCCTGTGAAAATGCCAGTTACCCTATTTATATCTGTATTTGACTTTGCTTTGTCTATTTTTTTGTTTCTTACCACTAGGCCACCAGAGCTCCCTCATTTATTTTTGTTTTGTCACTGACCCTAGAATATACACTAAATGAAAGCAATGACCAGACTTGTAGCATGACAATAGAACCTGAAAGATGAAAGTGCGTTTATGATAAATTTGTTGGACAAATCAATTGCTGGCTGGGTATTTTTGAGTGGGTTACTCTGGGACCAACTGCTTGGGCTACCCCAGACATGGAATCCAATTAGCTAGCAGGTGGAAAGCAACTGTACTTTCCAGACATCTCCATCTAGGAAACAAGAGCAAAGCCAAGGTCTCCCGTCTGGGTGCAGTCCGGAGGTATTTCCGGAAATGGGAACTGCAGGCTGCGGAAATGACTGGCGGGATTTGGAGCAATAAGGAGGTTGATACTGAGCGCTACCCTAAGGAAGCCCTGCACATTTTTACCCATTCCCGACCCATCATCCTTGCCCCTCTTCTTATTTTTTAACATGAAAATTTCAAGCGTTTATTGTCTTTATAAGATGAAGCTCAGAACTGAATCACCTGACCCTTTCTCTTATCTCCTCCCAGTTTAAAGTGCTTGCATCTTTTGACAGCTAACAGTCTTTTATATCTGCAGTTTGGCTCAACACATTCAAGTCTTAACACAAACTTCTTTGTAATTTTCGCCTTTTCCCGGAAAAATGCCTTGGTCAGCCCACCATAGCCACTCTGCTTTCTATCATGCTTTCTATCTAATGCCGCTTTCCCTGGGCATACAGATTCTTTGCCTTCTTGTACTGTGCAACTTTGTGGGGTTGGTGCTTGCCAAACTTGCAGAAAGTTCGGCGCGTTTTGGCAACGCTGACCATGGTTGCAGGAGCCCTATCCACACAAAAAGTTTGCCCACCCTACTTCAAAGAATTGACTGCGGACTCGCTAGCAATGTCAGGCCCCCCAAGGCTTGCCATCAAGAGCGTCTGTTTGAAGGTTATCAAGACAACACGCTACTTCCGGGGCAGGGGTCAGAGGGTCCTGATCCGCGGGTGTTGGTCTGAATCGGCAGTTCTCATCTGTGTACGGATTGTTGCCTCTGGCAACAGGTCCTTGCGGGAGTGGACTGTTTTCCCTGCACTCCAGCTTCCTCACTCTAGCCTGTCTGCCTCTCAGCGTCTGTGTTTAGCTGTTCCCTTGGCAACCTCCACTTCCGGGAGCGTGTTCCGTTTCCCTTCGGCACAGCTGACGCTGGAGGCCCTGGTTCCGGCTTCTCAGTGGCGGTTGGCCCTTTACCTCTTTTAGGCCCTTTGGGTAACTCTTCAGACGCCCAGGCCGCCGCCCGCGATTCACGGACTTCCTCCAGGGGCCGCCATGGTTCTTCTGCACGTGAAACGCGGCGACGAGAGCCAGTTCCTGCTGCAGGCGCCCGGGAGCACCGAGCTGGAGGAGCTCACGGTGCAGGTGACCCGGGTCTACAATGGGCGCCTCAAGGTGCAGCGCCTCTGCTCAGGTGCGGCCCGGAGGGTGAGGGGCAGCTGCTGGGGGGACCGCCCGGACCCCGACGACGCCGGACTCGCCTTCCCCGGGAACCGAGCGAGTCTTGGTGATCTCCGGGAGGAGATGGGGGTCTGGACTGTGCTGGACGGTCCAGAGGGATGTGGAAAGGAGGTGATCTGGGATGGAGAATGCAAGACATTGCTAGGCAGGTTGTGGATGAGGGATAGGGTTTGTACAAAGATTTATAGCAACTGAGGTTGAACCAAATGTGATGAACAAAGAGCCAGCGCCTGCACACGCCCCGCAGAACCTAAGGCCCGCCCCAGGCGACCTGGCTCTCAGTGGACAATGAGTGAGATCAGTATGCACCCAAATGCCTGGGAGCCAAGCTTTGGGGGGCTAGTGAGTGCAAAACTGTACTGAAGAGTCTATGGAGTGAATGCAACAAGTGTGAGAGTTGAGAAAATAACCAGGTGGGTCTTTTAAAAGTCTATTTCCGAAGCTTTTTGAAGTAGAGCAGACACTTTGGCCCCTGGACGTTTTGAAAAGACTTTGAGATAACCTGGGCGTACTTTCCCTTTATCTGCGAAGAAGCTGTTGCTCATAATACTGAATTTCAGATTTCACCTGGCCTTCTCCTTTGGAACACTACCTTGAACAACACCATCGAGTAGAGCTTTCCTTGGCTGTGGAAACTCACTGTGTTTGTCCTGTCCCATACAGTATCCAAGGCACTCTGGTGGCCTCATGCGCCCTACACAGTGTGGGCAGGTTCAGATCTTCCAGCTGCAAGGCGGGCATTCCCCTCCACTTACTATTTGCCGCCTAATAAATAATAAAATAAATAAAGATTTGCTATGATCTAGAATTGGCAACAGTGAGTTTGGTCTGGTTTAGTATGGTATCCACAAGCCACTTGTGATTAGTGAACATTTGAAATGTGGCTAGTGTGACTAATTCTTAGTGTTATTTTAATAATTTAAATAGCCCATTGTGGCTTGATAGCTGTTGCATGAGACACCACAGATCTGGCACCTGACAGAGTGGTACTCTACATATGGTTGAAGATGTTACTGTTTCTAGAACTGACGTTTTTGCTTTGAAGAGAACTATATGAGAGTCATAGTCTCCAGTTTTATGGAACACATGTATCGTTTCTTCATTTTAATCAGTTAAAGACAAGTTCAATTTTTTTTGTTGTTCAATTGTTGGGAAGAAGAGAGACTCAGTACCATTTTCTGTAAAATTAAAAATTGCAAATGTGATGCTGAGCGTTTAAGAGTCACTGGGGCCCTGGTGGTTCAGTGGCAAAATTCTTGCTTTCCATTTGAGAGACCCAGGCTCAGTTCCCAGTCAGTGGGCCTCATGCACAGTCACCAGTCTGTCAGTGGAGACTCAAGTGTTGCGGTGATGGTCAGCAGGTTTCCTCAGAACCTCCAGGCTCAGGACCAGGAAGCAAAGTTTGGTAGTTTACTCCTGAAAATCAACTAGGGAACATCCACAGATCACACTGGGCAGCCAGTGATAGGAATGGCCCAGGTGGAATCGGGTGGCGTTGGCTTTCACTGTGCAGAGAGTCATCATGACTTGGCAGCAGCCCACAGTGAGTGGTGTTGCTAACTCAAAGTCTGCATGTCTCCATGGTTTGACCAGCTTCCCTGAGGGAGGAAGATGGACAGTTTCTTCTCATTTAAATTTACAGCCTCAGAATCAGGATGGAAGGTTGCTGTGAGTTAGAACTGACCCTGCAGCAGTTTGAGTGAATTTGTTTTATGTAGTCAGGTTGCAACTGACTCATACAAGTAGACCTTGTAACAGATTTTCAGAGACTCTTAAATCACATGAAAGAAGATTGTTCATCTTTCTTCCTCAAAGCAGCTGTGGATTCAAAGTGCATTCCCTAGGGTTGACAGCACAGCTTCTTAGCAGTAGGCCACCAGAGCTCCCTAACTTAGAATGCACTGATTTGTTCCAGACACTGAAGGAGACCATTGTCAACTGTGATAGAGGCAGACACCTGTGCTACCTGCCTCTTAGAAAGGCAGAGGTGAACGAGATCAGTTCCTTGCCAGTCTGGTTCACTGACACCCAATAAACATTCCATTTAGTTGCAAATCATTTGCTCCACACTTTTTTTTTTTATCCTAGGCCACGTGTCTCCATAAAACTATGTGCTTTAGGGGGAAAGTTTCAAAACCTTTGCGTGGTTTTGGGTTTAAACCAAGTAAAAAAAAAGTTTTAAATTTAAAAAACAGAACAACAGTTTTATTAAAATGTAGACTAGTTGCTGATAACCAAAAAGTTGGTGGTTTACATCCACCCAGAGACATACTGAGAGAAAAACTTGACAATCTACTTCCAAATATTAGCCACCAAAACCCTCTGTAGAACATGGTTCTGTTGTGACACAGGGAGTTGGCCATGAGCTGGGGTTGACTACAGCAACTAGTGGTGGGTTTGGTTTATGTATGGAAAATGCAGTAAAAAAGTATAAAGCATGCCTTTGAATAGTGATCATGGTACTATAGACCAATGCTCCTTGTTCCGTTTCACTTCCTGGGGATGTGAACTGCCATAAATCCTCAGTACTGAGCAGAGCAGGTTTATTTATACAAGGTATCAGCTGTGCACCTGGAACATGTATGGCCATAGATTAGGAGAATGAGAATGTGGACAATTGTCTCACCCAGATCACAAGGTTAAATTAAGTGAGAGAATTTTTGTGGGAGCACTTGGAGAACTGTTTATCCCTATATGAATGTAGATGTTAGTAAGCACTTTTGATGTACCACCTGAATACCACCTACAATGAATTTCATACCCTGCCTTACTTCTGTTGAATGAGGCTGATTTGGGAGCTCATTTAAGGGTCAAAGACAGATCTTGCATTTAGCAAATGGTGACTTGTTAGCTTCTGTTGAGTGGGCTCCAGAGCCATGGCCACCATGCACCACAGAAGTAAACCCTGCCCAGTTCTATTCCATCCTTGTGATTGTGGATTAAACCACTGTGACCCTTAAGATTTTCCATGGCTTGTTTTTAGATGGGGATCACCAGGCCTTTCTTCCTCATTCATCTTAGTCTGGAAGCTGTGCTGCAACCAGTTCAGCCTTCTCGCCATATACAAGGTTGCACTGAAGGGCAGTGGCGGTGTTTGAGGTGCACTGGGAAGTATCGCATGGAACACAAGAATTCTACCGCTGACCCACGATTGCCCTCAACATGGCTCCTAAGCATTTGTCAGTAATGAACTAGGTGGCTAAGACAGCAGGCCCTGGGGCACTCACCTTCGAGTGAGGCGTAAGGGTGATGATGCTCATTGTGATACCTCTTACCTAACTTTCTCTTGGTTTTAAGAAATGGAAGAACTAGCAGAACATGGCATATTTCTCCCACCAAATATGCAAGGGCTGACTGATGAGCAGATTGAAGAATTGAAACTAAAGGACGAATGGGGAGAAAAATGTGTACCCAGTGGGGGCTCTGTATTTAAAAAAGATGATATTGGACGACGGAATGGACAAGGTGAGCAAATAAGCTTCTTTGTACATACTTGATCAAACCAGTAAAGTATGAATGTAGTCCTTGAAATTTCAAATTAGACTTCAGTCTTCCTGTATAATTTAAGAGTTACTACACTATGTAACTTCTTATGGTAGAACCCCAATTCAGAATGAACTGGGTGGATATACGAAGCTCATGCATTTTTGCCCTAAGTGGCAACCAGCTTTTAAGTAGAAGAACCATATGACATTACTGTATTTTTTAAGTCCAAAAGGTTGAATATTGGCAAACTCAAATGGTTTAGCCTAATGGCTTTAGGAAGATAATCATTAAAATTTAGGAAAAGCTTCTGTTATTATGGCAGATACTAGGGTTTATTTGGAGATCCTATGGGGGAAAAACAGAAATGGATTCCATACTAGGCCAATGTGAAGACTTAAGAGTTTTTTGACGCTGCGTCTGGGTCCATTTTGGGACACTGAGGAAAGTGGCCTCAAGTTTGTGGTCTGCATGTGGTTGATCATGTGGGATTTGAAGGCAAAAGTGATGATGATCCTTTTTCCCTTTTATTCTGTACAAAAAGCTCCACTTTAAATATCTACTGGGTCCCTGACACTATCATTTGAGAGTCAAAAAAATTCAACAGTGTCCTTTTAAGGCCTTTACACATGGAAACATCTATCTATATTTATATAGATAGATTGTGTGTATATATAAATTATGATATACATTCACACACACAATTGGGGATAAAAGCATTCCTCTCTCTGGTGGCTTAGTTGTAAGAAGTTGTGCTGCTAGCCCAAAGGCATGCTGTTCAAATCCACCAGCTGCTTCTCAGAAGAAAGATAAACAGTCTCCTCCTATGCAGTATAGTATCTCTGAAAACCCCCTGGAAGGTCAGCTATGAGTTGGTTCCAGCTCATTGAATTTGAGCTATGAGTATTATTTCCTTTGAATTTTAACCTGGGAAATGGTTATCTTTTTCAGTTTTTTATACCTTAACTTGTTCTCTGTTGTTGTCGTCATCAAGTCCACTCTGACTCATAGTGACCCTAAGAACAAGAAATTTGAGCCGTGCCCTGTCCTGCACCATCGTCATGTTCTCTGTTATACTCAAGCCCACCATCATGATATTCCTGAGTCTCTGCATCTTGTTGAATATCTTCCTCTCTTTCTCTGCCCCTCTACCTTTCCCAGCATGATGTGTCTCCAACAAGTGGTCTCTCCTGAGAATATGCCCAAAGTAAGTGAGATGAAGTTTCACCATCCGTGCCTCTAACAAGCATTCTGGTTGCATTTCCTTCATGACAGACTTGTTTGTTCTTTTGGCAGTCCATGGCAGTACTCTTTGCCAATAGCATAATTCAAAGGCATCGACTCTTGCTCAGTCTTCCTTATTCATTGTCCCAACTTTCAGATGCATAGGAAAGAGTTGGAAATACCATGGCTTGGAGGAAGTGCACCTTAGTCTTTAAACTGACATCCTTGCTCATTAGAACTTTGGAGAGGTCCTTGACAGCAGGTTTCACCAGTACAGCACATCTTTTGATTTCTTGACTACTGCTGTCATAGCTGTTAATTGTGTAGTCAAGGAAAATTAAACTGAACTGTTGACAACTTAAATCTTTTTTCCATCTATCATGATGTTGTCTATTGATCCAGGGGTGGGAATTTTTGTTTTCTTGATGTTGAGCTATAACCCATATTGAAGGCAGTTGTCTTTGATCTTCTGCAGTAAGTGCTTCAGGTGTTCTCAGCTTAGAGAGGGTTCCCCCCACCTCTTTTTCACATGTCTTTGAAGGAATTGCAACAATTAGAAAAACACTATCTCATAAGCCCTTGTTAATGGTTCAATATTCATCTTGAAACAGATATTTTCTTAAACTTACCAGTGTATTTCTAACATTTTCAGTGCTTCATAAATATAATTTATTAAGTATTAAAGATTTGGACTTGCCATTTTCAGCTTGGATGTTTTATCTTCATTGTCTTTGCTTCTTCTAACATTTCAGCTCCTCCTCTCCTTGTCTGGGGCTTCATTATCTATGCCCCAAAAGTTTTATTGGCATACAGCCACCTCATCCCTTTGCATTATTATCTGTGACTACTTGGTGCCTCAGGGACATTAGACACTCTGGTCCTTTACAGAGTATGTTCACCAGCCCCTTTCATTCAGTGACATTGTTCTTCAAAGGCTTTTCCACTTTGTATAAAGTGTACTCTGCTGTTACAAAGACATTAATTACTGTGTACCTCACAGCCACCTTTCTTGTATGCACCACCTAAATCCCATAATTGCATTTTTTTCCACATACGGCCTGTGTGGTCAATCCAGTACCACCCCATCAGTTCCAACTCCTAGTGACCTTCTGTTGTTCGGTGCTCTCCAGTGGAGTGTGACTCATAGCAACTCTCTGAACAGCCTGTCTGAACCGTCCTGTCCTGTGCCATCCTCACAATCTCTGACACACTCAAGCCCATTGCCACAGTCACCATGGCAACCTACCTGGTTGTTTCCCCTCCATTTTCCCAGGCAAGATGTCCCTCTCCAAGGAATAACCTCTCCTAACAACATGTCCAAAGCACCTGAGAAGAGGCTTCATCATCTTTGCCTCCAAGGACAACTCTGGCTGCACCCTTTTCCAAGACATACCTGTTTGTTCTTTTGACAATACATGGGATCTTCAGCACTCTTTTGTGTTAGAAGTGACTATATAGCACAGAGTAGAACTGCCCCAGAGGGTTCTAAGCTTGTAAATCTGTAAGGAAATAAACGGCTTCATCTTTCACCTGTAGAGTGGCTGGTGGGTTAGGACTGCTGATCTTTAGGAGTCAAATACTTTAGCTATAGCACTACTTTAAATAGTACTGTTAATTATAGGACTTGTACTTGGAATTTTTTTAAAAAGTTTTGAAGATATTAACATATTTTTTGACTGTGTCTTTACTGCTCTCCCCTCCCGCACTTTTTTAATAGCTCCAAATGAAAAAATGAAGCAAGTGTTAAAGAAGACAATAGAAGAAGCCAAAGCAATAATATCTAAGGTTAGCTTTTTTAAAAAATAATTTTAATGAGCATTTACAGAGATTTTGGATTTCCATTCATTCATTGCTGCACTTCTCACCCCACCCATCCCTCCCTCTCCCCTCCTCAGTTCACTCCTCTCTTTCAAAAGTAAAAGAAACACTCCTTCCCTGGTACATAATCCCCCCCACACCCCTCCCACCGCCCCAAGTACATTTCACTATGCAACCTTAATTGTGGACTCTTGTGATAACCATAATACCCTATCATACATCGCTTTTAAATTATTCAGTCCCTCATCTGTTTCAGTGCAGTATACACAATTTATCCAGTTTTTCTCAGTCTTACCCCAACCCTGATAATCAGTCCCATTTTATAACAGTGGCACCATGCAATATTTGTCCTTTTGCATCTGAGATATTTCACTCAGCATAATGTCCTCCAGGCTCACCCATTTTGAATAATATTGCATGAGTTCCTTGTTTTTCAATGCAGCATAGTATTCCATTGTGTGACTATACCACAGCTTCTCTATCCATTCGTTTGTTGATGGGCACCTGGGTTGTTTCCAACTCCTTGCTATTGTGAACAAAGCCGCAATAAATATGGGTGTGCATATATCTGCGTGGATGTCAGTTATGGTCTCTTTGGGATATAGTCCCAGTAGTGGAATTACTGGGTCAAATGGTATCTCTATTTGCAACTTTTTGAGAAAGCGCCACACAGCCTTCCACAGTGGTTGCACCATTTTACACTCCCACCAACAGTGAATGAGGGTTCCAGTTTCTCCACAACCTTGCCACCATTTGTTGCTTGCTAAGGTTAGCTTTTTAAAATGATGCTCTAAAGCTTGTATTTTGAAGTACAAATTACAGCTTCCATAGTTAGCAGTTTTCTTCACTGATGGCTCCATCTACTCGGACAGGAAGATCAGGGCCACTTGTAGGGGGCCTTGTAGTGCTCTGCGTTCCCACTCCCCACCACCTTATCATCCTGCTTCTCTTCTCCCTCAGAAATCAGTGTTTTCCCCTGCCTGGGCTTATCCACAGCTCTGCTGCTGCTTTCACATCTCCAGCTTGTCTGTCATACACCAAAGAATTGCAGTCTTTATTAACTAAAGCTGTAAACATGCTCAGACCTCTTGGTCTCTAGGAGAAAATGGGACATGTGGGCACAGGGCTATTAACGTCTTTCTGAAAGGGTCAGAAAGAGTGAGAATAACATAGCTCCTCACTGCCCCTGTACAGAAAGTAGATAAATAGCCGACAGCCCTTGGTGCCTGTAAAGCCCCACCAGCAGCAAGAAGTTCATTTAGTCGTTACAGAGTCACAGACTCAGTTGTGGTACTGAGAATGAGGTTTATTAGGGAAGTAAGTTGGAGTATGGGGGAGGCAAGGAATATCACCCAATACAAGTCCAGGTTTAGCCCAAACAATTCCTCAAGTAGTCCAAGCTCTGTTTTCAGTTTAGCAGTCAAATCCAAATCATCCAGCAAGGTTTGCCTCAGCAGTTATAAGTCAGCTTCTCCTTCAAGTGTCTGGCAGGAACAGCAAAAACCTTAAACTATGGCCAGCACAAATGCAAGAAGCCTCAAGCCATACCTCACCACAGTTTCTCCACAACAGTGCCATAGTCTCTCTACCACCATACCTGGGTCTTGCTCCAGTCCCCCTCAAGTCTTGCTGTCCAATGAAGGAAGCAGTCTTTCTCTTATCCTAGTTAACAGCTGTTGATGATTTGCAAGACTGTGTGTCTGTTGATAAGGTAGCCAGAGACTAGAAGGGGCTAATTGTAATGGCTAAAACCCTCCCAGTTTTTAGGCTAACACCATAGTCTCCCTGCAGCTTAACTTCTCATCCTGAATGCCCCACTCTTTTCCTTCTCACGAGCTTCCTAGTGGAAGGGGCACACTGACTGCCTTCATACTTACTTCCCACAAACATAGCTGCCCAGGTACCCCTTCATAGGCACATCCTTTTCTCATTCCAGTGCCTGAGCCCCTCTCTGTCTTTTGATCTCATCTACGATCCTACTCTTACTCTTGTTCTCACTTTTGCCTCTTAAATTTGGTATTTATCAAAGTATGGCCTCATTCCCTTTCCTCTTGGCTTTTTATCTATTCTGCCAAATGTTCGTTTTAGCCTTTCTTCAGATAACTTCAAACCTCGCTCCTGTATGTATTCCTGAACTTGGAACCTGCATTTCTGTCTGCTTCCTGGAGGTCTACCCTGTACCTTAAACTCTAGTTTTCTGGAAGTGACCTCATTGTTTCCTCAGCTTTCCACCTCTAAATTCTGTGCTTAAGAATAAACATACCCTGCAGAGTCGTCTGTTTCTATTAAGAGAATCACAGCATGACCAATGATGCTTACATTTGCTCCTTTCCTTCACATGCCACCATCTGCTCCTGTGATACCTGTTCAAGTCATTCCCTCCTTTCATTTTCACAGCCCCCTTTCCACTTAAGACTCCCATAACCTTTCCTTTGTGCTCTGCAGAGCCTCCTAACTGGCCTTCTTCATTCTGTACCCACTGCAGGTTTAATCTCCCAGGGGCTTCATTCCCAGAAGAGCCAGTCATTGCCCATTGCTAAAGAGTCAAGAGACTCCTTATCCTGACTCTCAAGGCTGTTCAAAAAAGAAATCTTGCCCTCTCTTCATGCCCCACCTAGAGTGGTCTCCCTGTCCTGAAATAACCTAGCTCCCCCTCTCCTTGTTAAGTCTAGTGTGTTTTCAGGCACACGTCTTGCCCAGTATTCCTAGCTCTCCCGCCCATCTGTGCAGGCAGACATGATGCTTCTTCCCATTGCAGAGTTCTCTGCACACACTGTGCTGCTCTGTCCATGCTGCTCCCCCTCTGCTCCATCAGAGAGGCCCCTGTGCACCTGGTTCAGTCCCTGAGCTAGATGACAGGGGCCTTTGCAGCAAGCCCGTTCTCAATCCTTATTGCTGGTCAGGCACTATCTGTGTTCTTGTGTGAGAATTTGATAGATTTGTGTTGAATGAGTTACATTCTAGGTAACAGTGCCCATCAATTTTCAGAAACAAGTAGAAGCCAATGTCTGTGTCACTATGGAGATGGTGAAGGATGCCCTGGATCAGCTCCGAGGTGCAGTTATGATTGTTTATCCCATGGGGTTGCCCCCCTATGATCCTATTCGAATGGAATTTGAAAACAAAGAAGATTTGTCAGGAACTCAGGTATGTGGCTCTTAGGTGACTTTCTTTATAAAACCCCTAAAGGACAAACACATATCAAATTTGATGGGGCTAGTTTTTGCTTAATTCCAGCTTTCCATCTTTGCTACTATGTAGAGTTCTAGATTTAAGAGAGGGTCTTGAGGGCGTTGGACTTGTGTGTTCACACACAGAACCAGTCCCCGGGGTCAGTGAATCTGCCCATCCCATCTTGTTTGTATACTAGGAGGCCACGCACCTGACTTGAGGCCTACTTCTGCCCAAACATGGGAGTCTCTTTGTATGGCATTTTGTGTTCTAGCCTTACTCTTTGCTCCATTTTATTTTCTACCCTAATTTTCCATTTCCTTTCATTTTTATCATTTTTTACCCTATTTGATAGTACGTAACCTCAAAAAAAAAAGAAAAACAACACACAAACCAGTTGCAATCTTCAGTCAAAAGAATTCCTGCATAGGATTTTCAAGGCTGTGACCTTTTGGAAGCAGGTTTCCAGGTCTTTCTTTCAGGTCAGAGGCACCTGAGTGAGTTCAAACTGCCAACCTACTGGCTAATAGTAAAAAAAAAAGTTCTGTTACAGTCAGTTTGACTTCAGCTCATAGTGACCCTGTGTGTACAGATTAGAACTGTGCTCGAGGGTTTTCAAGACCATTTGGAAGCAGATTGCCAGGCCTGTGTCCCAAGGTGCCGCTGGGTGAGTTCCCACTGCCAGCCTTTCTGTTAGATGAGCACATGATCATTGACATCACCCAGGCATTTATATACATACATGTGTATTTGTTTTTATTTCTATAAATGATCTTAAATAGGTAAGTATATGAGAGTAAGGAAGCTCTGGTAGCCTAGTGATAAGAAGCTGCACTGCAATCCAGAAGGCATGTGATTCGAGGCCACCAGCTGCTCCACGGGAGAAGGATGAACAATCTCCTCCCGTAAGATTAACTACCTCTGAAAACTTACTGGAGGGTCAGCTACGGGTCAGTTCCAACTCATTGGTACACAACAACATACAAGAGTAAGCAAACAAAACAGCTCCTTTCTACTTAAACATTCAGCAGCATTTCCTTGTTACTCCTTGGTGGAGTTTTTTACATTGTTAGGTGCTGTGGGATTGGTTCTGACTCATGGTGACACTATGTACAGTGGAACACAACGCTGTCTGACTGTCTCATCCTGTCACTCACAGTTGCCACTCTCCGGGAGTCCGTTGTTTAGCCTCTGTGTCTGTCCCTTTCGTTGAGGGTCTTCTTTTTTGCTGACCCTCTACTTTTCCATGCCCGATCTCTTTCTCCAGGATCTCGTCCCTCCTCGTAAGATATCCAAAGTATGGGAGACAAACGGTCACTGTCCTTAACTTCTAAAGAATATTGTGGTTATATTTCTTCCAAGACAGATTCATTCATGCTTCCGAGATTCAGTACTCTTTGTCAGCATCATAATTCAAAGACATCAGTTCCTTTTTTATCTTCCTTTCTCATTGTTCAGCTTTCCCACGCATACGAGGGCATGGAACAACCACCATGGCTTGGGTCAAGGTACACCTTAGGGTTCAAGTGACAGTTTTGTTTTTAAACTTTTTTAGAAGAGGGTTTTGATGGCAGTTTCACCCGGTGCACCAACTGCCGCTTCCTAGGACATTGTGGATCCAAGTAAAATGAAATCATTGACTACGTTGGTAATTTTTTTTTATATTCATGGTATTTATTGGTCCATATGTCAAGTTTTTGTTTTCTTTATTTTGTGCAAACCCTCGTGGCCTAGTCATCAGGGAATTGAGCTACCAGCCCAAAGGCTGTGCCTCTGGCAGTTCACATCCTCCAGCGGCTCTTTGGGATAAAGATGAGCAGTCTCCTCCTGTGCGATTTACAGCCTCCCCAAACCCACTGTCGGCTGTCAGTTGGCTCTGACTTGACAGCAATGAGTTGAGTGAGTGATGTTGACCTGCAGTCTGTACTGAATGCTGTGATCCTGGATCTGTCAGTGTTTAAAGTCCTCTCTGCTTTCAGCAAGCATGGTCATGTCATCTGCATATTATCACACGTTGTTGATGTGTCTTTCTTTAATCCCGATGCCATATTCTCCTTCATATAGCTTCTCAGAATATTTGCTCAACATACACTTTGATGAAAATCCTAAAAAAAGCTATGTAAGAGCAGCCTTATTTTATGACTGTGTAAGCAATTAGGGCAAATTAGTGCAAGCAAACTATTTATGGCAGGAGTTAACTGAATCAAGAAATGAGCTAATAACTGGACTCAGAGATGTGAGTGAGGGTGGGAACAGTGCCTCGAGGGGTGCGGGGGTGGGGAGGACAGGGTGCGGGGAGGACAGGGTGCTGCGAGCTTGCTGGAGGCCACCAGCCAGGCTTGGTGCCCTGGGGTGGGAGTTGGTGGCAGAGCCTGGTAACCTTGACGTGAGCCCTTATGTTCCATCCCAGGCAGAGCTCAGTGTCATTAAAGAATCAGAGGCTCAGTTGTGGTGGGCAGCCAAGGAGCTTAGAAGAACAAAGAAACTTTCAGACTATGTGGGGAAAAATGAAAAAACCAAAATTATTGCCAAGATTCAGCAAGTAAGTACTTTGAATTTTATAAGGTAGTATTGTTATTGCTACTTAATTTGAAACAGGAAAATTTGCAATAAAGAGGAAACATTTAAACTACTTGTGCAAGTAATTTAATCCTCTTGGTCTGGGATTAAAATTTCCTATTTACAAGTACCAAATAGGGGGGAAAAAACCTCCACCCCAAGAATTAACAAAATCAGAATCCTAATTTCGAAGAGTAACTTGAGGGATATGCCATATTGGAGTCTCTTGGTGTTGCATAAGCTTAACATGCTTGACTGCTAGTTAAAAGGTTGATGGTTCAAGTCTACCCAGCGGCACCTTGGAAGAAAGACCCACGAGTCTGCTTCCAAAATACCAGCTACTAAAAACCAACCCTCTGGAGCCCAGTGCCGCTCTGACACACTTAAGCTGGTTATGAACTGGAATGACAGGAGGGTGACTGGCTTGTTGTTAAGTGTCGTCAGCTTCTAATAGTGACCCTATGAACACTTGGACCATCTCAGTTTCAACTTAAAAAGAGAGCTGTGAATAATTTTTTTTTTTTTAGTTCCTTGAACTGAAAAATACAGTTGAGAGCAGTGATTTCCAACTTTTTCAAAATGAGAAGTAGAGAGATTTTAGGGAGCTAAATCAAGAGTTGTAGCCTAATTTGTAATTTGTAGCACTACTAAACAAAAGGTTGATAGTTGAAATCCACTAACTGCACTGCAGGAGAAAAAATGGGCAATTTCTGTAGATATTTTCAGCCTCTGAGACCAGATGGATGGTCACTGAGTTACAACCAATTTGACGACAGTAGGTTTGGTGTTTTGGTTTTAGCATAGAGCTGTAGCAGAGTTGCTGTAGGAGCTCCTTAAGGGTTGTGCTCTTTCTTAAATCTTTAGAATTTGGGAGGGAAAAGATCCTCCTCGATAATCCAGACCTCATAACTTCAAAGCATCGCCCCCAGTGGTCTGCAGTGGCCGGCTCCCGAGAGGCCTTGGAAGGCTGGGTGTCTAGGCAGCCGCTGGTCCTTCCCCCTCCACCATGAGGAGGCAGAGCTACCTCCTGTGCTGCCAGAGACCGACACTGCTTCTCATGGGAGTGGACGGCTGGTGTGTCTTCAGCAGTTAGCAAGGACAGTTGTAAAATACTTGGTGTGACAATACAAGAGTTTCCTAATCCACTGATTACTCTCTCTCCACTCTTTGCAGCGGGGACAGGGAGCTCCAGCCCGAGAACCGATTATTAGCAGTGAGGAGCAGAAACAGCTGATGCTGTATTATCACCGGAGGCAGGAGGAACTCAAGGTATTGGGGGTGGGTTCTTGACAGCATGCACTCTCTGTCTTACCCAAGGACACTGGGGCAGGGCACGCAGTGAGTCCTGCGGGATGTAGGGGTTCTGACGTGGCTGGTCAGATAGGACTGCTGTCTGTGACACTGGACAGTGTCCTGCTGGAAGGAAGGAGGGAGGGGAGGGAGGACCACCTGTGGATCTCTTCTTCAGTCTCTTGATGTGCAAAATGCTTCATGAAATTCCTTCCTAAGTAAAGCATTTCTTTCCAGAAATTAGAAGAAAATGATGACGACTCCTGTTTAAATTCTCCATGGGCAGACAACACAGCTTTGAAAAGACATTTTCATGGGGTAAAAGACATAAAGTGGAGACCAAGATGAAATCTACTTGCTGATGAAGCTTCAGATATACTAACTCACTTTTCTTTTAGGTAAAATAACTATGAAAAGAAAAAATAAAACACTTAGAATGTGCAATGAAAAATACTGAAATCTCTATTTTCCTTGAACTTGAATTTTTAAAATAAAAGTTATTTAAAGCCATAGAATTTAATAGGTGTCTCCTCCGAAGAGTATGTGAATGATTTCGGTTTCTGCACAAATTAGTGTCTGCTCTCAGCAGCACTTGTGGGTCCAACTAAGATGAAGTTGATAAACAGATCGGTCTTGGAGAAGGTGCAGCTAGAGTGCTCATTGGAGACCAAGATGTTGAGCTTCATCTCACACACTTTGGACATGTTGCTAAGAGAGGTTATTTCTTGGAGAGGGGCACCATGCTTGGGATAGTGGAGGGATAGCGGAAGACCCTCGATCATGTAGAGTGACACAGTGACCGCGGCTGTGGGCTCTTGTGTGTCAGAGATTGTGGGGATGGGACAGGGTTCAGATCCGTCGTTCATAAGGTTGCTGTAGGTCGTACGTGATGCAGCAGCAACTAACAGCAGCAGTTAGTGTTGGGCTCTTCTTTGTAATTGAATCTTTCCTGTTTAACTAATTACTAAACTATTCCTAATTTCTTTGGTTCATAATCTCATGAGAACTGCTCTGAGAGGAATTCTGAAGGTATCCATTCCATCTTCTTAGCAAATCGAGTATCCCCAACTAGGGAGCTCTGTTAACCCTAGGGTCACTACTCTAAAAGTTTGAACCTACCAGGAGCGCCACAGGAGAAAGCTGGACAGTGTCCTCCCGGGTGATTGGAGACCTAGTGGGGTTCAGCCACGTTCAGACTCCACTGCCATTGAGTAATTGTGCAAGAACAAATGAGTATTTTTTTTTAAGTCACCTGGGGGAGGGGAAGGGAGGAGAGGGCGTCAGTTGTGCAACAATGAGTGAAAATCTAACTTCTCTGAAATGATCATTAAAATCAACATTTCAAAAATAAAGCAACAAACTTGCCCATCAGTGACCACTAGAGGCCACTAGTTACTGAATTGTCTATTCTTTTGGCCCATCCTTTTAGAACTTTTGGGAGAAAGAGACTAAATCATTTTTACTTTCCCCCCCTCATTTCTAACTTTTTATTATTTTTAACTCCCTCAGTTCATGATGCTGAACTAAACCACTTTATTATTTCAGTAGATTATAATTGAACTCTCATCAGGAATTATGGATTCTCATACTTTTAATGTCCTATTTAGTTTTTATTCTTACTTTTTAAAAATATTGTGTTTTAGTGAACATTTACATAGCAAATTACTCTTCATTCAATTAAGCATACACAGATTGTTCTGTGACATCAGCTGCAGCCTCTGCACTGTGTCAGCACCCCCATTTCTACCTTGGGCTCCTCATTGCCACTTGTTTGCTTCCTCTGCCACTCCCTCCACTCTCATCTTTCAGCACATGTTGCCTTTTGGACTCTGAGACTTGATTGTTCCAAGGAGCACATTCCTCCTGGCCGTTACCGCTTGTTTTATAGGCTAGTCTATGAATTTGACTGAAAGGCAGTCCCAGGAGTGGCTTCGGTTCCAAGTCAGAAAGATGTATCAGGGTGCTACTCTCAAGGATTCCTCCCGTCTCTGTCAGAGCAGTCACTGTGGGGTTTTTTATGGACTTGGGTTTTTCCCTACATTTTTCACTCCTAACTGGAACCATTTATTGTGCTCCTGTTCAGGGTGGCCAGTCATAGTTGCATGCCACCATGTAGTTCTCCTGGTCTCAGAAGAGGAAGCCATAATTCATGTGGGTCGTTAGGCCTTTGGGAGAGCAGCTTCCTCAAGTCTTCTGTTTGACTCGTTCTCCTTTGCTCCAAACATGAAAAGACCAAGGGTTGGATCTTAGGTGGCTGTTCACAAGGTTTCTAAGACCTCAGATACTGGTCACCAAGGGAGGATGTAGAACATATTAGCTGTTAGGCCACTTGAATCAGATTTACCCCTAAATTATGGTTCTTAGCTTTCTATTGTAGTGGCAAGTCCCGTGAAGTGTTTGATTCTAAGAAGTAATTAACCATGTCCTCTTGGTGCTCTGTTACAAAAATTTACATATTTGTAGCACCTACAAATTAAGTAGAACTATCCATAACTATACCTGTGTGTGCTTGTAAGTGCCCTCCCATCTGGACCTCCTGCATAGTGTAACAAAAATGCTCAAGTGGGTGTTGACCACCGTGGCCCTTTTGCCTTACTGCTCTGGTCGGACTAGCAGTACAATATTGAGTAAGATTGGTCATAAAAGGCCGCCTTACCTGCTTTCTGTTCTCGATGGAGAATGCCTGCAGTCTTCATTGAGTAACTTTGGCTTTTGGGTTTGCATATATGATCGAGATTATGTGGAAGTATTTCCCTTCTGTTCCTGTTCCACTGAGGGCTTTTTTTTTGAAAAATTCAAACATTGTAGCTTCCTCCCACCACAGCCTCCAGAGGTAGAGAGACACAGTCACTGCTCTGTTCTTGTTGAGCTACGTTTGTTGATCCCTCTGCCTTCACCCCTGAGGAGGTGGTCGTGCACTCAGGTAGCCCCCACCTGACCCATCCCAGCTCACATCTAGTGAGGGGACAGCCACCAGCCACACTTGGGACTTGTCCAAAAGTCAATTTACCAGCAAAAATCATGTTAGCAAGTGACAGGCTAGAGATTGGCTTAAGTATGTTCTTGATAATTCTTTTCTTTTTAATCCCACACATCTTTGGATCAATATCAAAAGTAAACAAAGTACCCGTTGTGTGTATGGTACCTGTCTGCAGCCATAGTTTTGTCCTTCAGCATAACTTGTCTCTTCATAGGATTATTTCACGGAGACCAGGAATGCTGGTAATAAATTCTAGTGTTTCTTGAAACCTTTCCAACAGTAACTGGGCAGCGTTTATGTAACACAATTGACCAGCTCCTCGGCTTCTCTGTGAATACATGTGCCATCAGTTTTGAAATGTACCCCACAGGCTTAGACCACAGTAGCCTTGAGAAAGCTGAGCCATGCTGGTTTCCCTTACGGAGCCTTTTGCAGACACCCCCCAAGGTGAGGAGAGAGCCTTCACCCGTTGATTGCCCCAAGATTGCTGAGAGGGAGTTGCTCATATCCCCACTTATCCAAGTTCACAGAGATGTGGTTGATTGCCATGCTGACTTCAGTACCAAATGTAATAATAATAACCAAAACCAAGCTGCTATCAAGTTGACTCCAACTCTCAGCAACATCAATATTCAGAGCAAAACTGCATAGGGTTTTCAGTGCCTTGACCACCCCTGTAGTCAAGTAAACACACGACTGAACTTCTGATTCTCAGAGACCTCGTACGAGAGAGTGAAACTACCTCTGGGGGGTTTCCCAGGTTTTATGGCAGAAAGCGACCCTGTCTCTCTCCTGTACAGCAGTTAGTGGGTTCAACATTACACTGTGTAGTTTTCTTAAATACCTAGTTTGAGCCAATCCAGAGGTATCTTGGAAAAATGATGTGATGGTTAAAACCCTGGGAAGCACAGTTCTGGTCTGACACGGGAGGGTTCTGTGAGTCAGAGGCAACTCCATGGCAAGTCTTTAGACATTTACTGTTTCCCAGACACTGTACTAAACAATTTATTGTGTGTGTTTTTATTTATACCTTCAAATTTGGAAGAAACCTGTTTTAATTATCTAATGCTACAACACCACAAGTGCACGACTTAAGCAAATTCCTCACAGTTGAGAAGTCTGAACTGAACTCAGGGCACTAACTGGAAGTTAGTGTCCCTCGCTCTCTCTGCTCTGGGGAGCAGTCCTCATCTCTTTTCAGCCTCTACTTCTTGGTTCCGTGGACACTTCATGGGACATGGATGGCATCTGTCTTCCCAACCTGTGTGCTGTGCTGTTTATGCAGCTTGTTTAATCTGCTCTTTTATTCCTCGAAAGGGACTTGAAACACACCTGTAGTGATACTACCTCATTAACATAGCAAAGAAAACCCCATTCCCCAAAGAGATCATAACCACAGGCTTCATGCTGTAATGGGCTTTACAACACATTTTGGGAGACACAATTCAGTCTGTAGTTCTAAGGTGCTCATTTTCAAGTAAGGAAACCAGAACTCAAAAAGGTTAATTCACCCAGAGTGAAGCATCTGAAAATCCACTGCTTGCCCTGAGCCTGCCATTAACTATACTCTGAGTTGTCATGCCAACAGGCTTGGTTTGGTAGACACTAAATCAAGCTCCAGTAAACAGTGGTGAGTGAGTGTCAGGGGAATATATGCCTGTGGGTGGGCACTGACACTTGTAGAGTGGGCGGACGTCAGGCTTTGAGAGTTTAATGTCTACGGTCAAACGGCGAGGATGAGCTGCATTGCCCAAGACCCAGCTTTGGTTCACTAACAACTGAAAAAGTAGAAGATACCTAGGCGCTTCCTTGAGATACTTGAACTAAAATGAGACACTGACTCTGCTTTGAAAGCAGCTCCCTCCAAACAATAAAAGTTGAGAGGCATTTCATAGCTAAGGGAGTGTGATCCTATCGCTAGCACACAGAGGTTGTGCTAATGTGGGATTATGCTAATGTGGGATTAGAAGTAGCAGTGGAACAGATCGCTGGTCTACCATTGAACAGTCTGTGAGTTCTATATATTCCCACTCAACCCACTGTTATTGACTCCAACTCATAGCCTGGATAGAGCAGAGCTGAGCCACCTCTATATAAGGTTTCTAAACTTGCAGATTTTAGTGGGATTTCATTTTCCCCATGAAGCACCTAGGGTATCTGAACAGTCATCCTTTTGGCTAGTAGCACAATGTTTAACCCACTATAGCACTAGGGCTTCCTCTCATAGTCAGACCAAAAATACAATGTTTTGCTAGTTCAGCAGTGAAGCAGAATTCCGCAAGACCACATTAGTCCACACCATCATGAACTGCAGAACGTCAAGTGCCAAAATCTCGTTTGTAGCTTTGAAACTTAAGCCCCTAATCCAGATGCAGCTATGTCAGTGATCCCACTGCCTGGTACTCACATAAGCATGACTTTG